CGTTGACTTTTGCGTTGACCTGTTGCCCCTGGTATGCAGTATGTATGAAGTAAATATGCATCTACTACAATACATTTAAGATGAATTAAATATGCATGGGGTATGAATTACACATGCAGTCCTTATGAACTAAATATGTACAAATAATATCAACTAAGTATGCACCTGTTATTAACTAAATATGCATATGTTATGAACTTAATATGCATCATGAATGAACTAAATATGCAGCGAAAATATGCAATAAAATGTACATTTTATATAGGTAATTTATGATGCATATTTAGTTAATTTCCGATGCATATTTAGGTAATTTATGAAGCATATTTAGTTAATATGAAATGCATACTTGTTATATTTAAATTAAATATATAATTCCATATATACCGAGAAGGAAACTTTGTGGCAGACAAGCTAGCGGCGATAGCTTCTGGTGTCCCGGTTGGATTTCAACATCTTAGCTCTCCACCACTCGAACTCGGCCGTTGGTTGAATTATGATATTCAAGGCGTGGCTCGTCCACGTAAGGTGTTGATCTAGTACGTATCAGGCTTAGGCCTTCTCTTTGTACCAAAAAAAAAAAATTAAATATATAATGATGCGTATATAGTTAATTTATGATGCATATTTAGTTAATTCATGATACATATTTAGTTCTTACGAAATGCATATTTAGTTCATGAACATTGCATACCTAGTTTATTTGAGATACAATCATAATAATTTATTTGTGTAGATCAATAACTTATATTAATCAATTTAAAAGTAAAATTAAAATTATATAATAAAAATAATTAATTATTATATTTAATTTAATTGTATAAAATTTATATTTTATTGCATATATTCGTTGCATATTTAGTTCATTCATAATGCATATTTCGTTAGTAAAATGAGCATATTTAGTACATAAACAGTGCATACATAGTTGATATTATTGGTGCATATTTAGTTCATAAGGATGACATGTATAATTCATATCTTATGCATATTTAGTTCATATTAAGTTAGTATTATATGCATATTTACTTCATACTTAATGCATACTAGAGGTCAACAGGTCAACGCCGGAAGTCAACGATTTTCGCCGGAAGTCAACAATTTTCGCCGGAAGTCAACGTCAACGCCAAAAGTCAACGGTCAACCCCAGAGTCCATGGTCAATTGTCAAAATAATATTTAAATAATTAAAATAATAAAAATAAAGAATTAAGTAATAAAAGTAAAGAATTATTATTTAAATGAAGAGTTAAATCTTGGCCACACATCATTTACCAATCTAGTGGCCAAGAATGAGTCTCACATGCACACTTTAAATATGTGGACTCATTGGATCCAATTCCTATATATATATATCAAGAAAATGCTATAAAATATGTATAGAAATATAAAAAATCTTTGCAATAATTAAAACTTATTTTTATGTTGTTTTAATTTAAATTAATAATAATATTTATTTATTGAAAAATGTACTAACAATTTAAATGATTACTCTTTTTGTCTCTTAATTGTAAATCGATTTAGCTATATAAAACCGAGTATTTAGTTGGATTGTTATGTTTTTAATGTTGATTTTTTTTTTTGTAATCACATATTTTTAACATATATTATTTATTTTTCTTAAAACATGTGTCCATTTGGTTAGCTCTAATCAACAAAAATTTTATGCAATGTGATGCAAAAGTTCAATTTAAATCAATTTTTTCTACCAAAAAACTTATTTTTCCATAACTTATAAATGTTGAAGTTAATTATAAATACACTCTAATTTTTTTAAAAAAAAAAATAAATAAGAAAGCTTGAGCGTGATACGGATTATAAGTCTTTAAATACTTGATGGTACACCTATCGATATTTATATTTATAGTGAATACTTTTTTATATGAAGTGATAAAATAAATTGAGTTCGGATAGGCATTTTGGATGCTGC